ATGAAATAATTGTCGGTGAAATGAACTTGTCTGTGAATTAATTGTCGGTGAACTAAGCTGTCGGTGAAGTGATTGTCGGTGAAATAACACGTATCCATAATTTATATCATCATATCCTCAAATTCAAGAAATTGCATGAGTTCAACACAAAAGACCTTCACAACGGAATGATCATATTGAGAATTTCTGATGTCACGATCTAGCGCCACAACATAACTGATTTTTTTGTATATTCAATAATTACATTGGTAAAGATATTTATCTGGCGGCTCCTTTTTTTTCAGAACTGTTCTGGTTTTATGAAGGGAAAAAGCATCACGATCTCTTTATCAATCATATGACAGGCGGTGTGTTCATTGTGTTCATCTATGTTTTCTTTCAAACCCTCAAGCCAATCACTGAGACTTTTCGAAATTGAGCTGTGTCCATATTCAAATTCTGTCTGGCCTTGAATGGTATCAGGATCACTTGTTTGAACACATTCGTTAGTCAATTCCTGGATTAATAGATCTATTGTCCTGTTTTTACGTTTTGAAGTTACCCCAGCATTCGCGGTTTCAATGTTCGTGCACCAGGAACACGTGCGGTATATAAAATATGACGATTTGCTGATGATTAAAAATAAAAATTGTGATTTAATATTTTTTACTTATTAAGCAAAAAAAAAATCAAATTTATCTCGTACAAAAGAAAATTTCACTTTTTTTAAATACAGAGCTCAACTAATAAAATACTGATCTATTTATGATTTATTCATAATTTTATAACCACGAGAAAAGAAAGGTCTTTATTTTTTTATTTTTTTTTTTAAAAAAAGAGGAAATACTGTATAAATAAATCTTACGTTGATAATTTATGAAATTTTAATAATAGTATGGAGAGTCATACATTTGGTCAAATAATGACCATAGCTAGAAAGGAAACAGCTCACGAAATAAAAAAAAGATTAAGAATTTTATTTTGGCGAAGCCCTTACTGTAAAACGGTAATTGAACAATCATTAATGAATACAATAATCCTTCAAATATCCGGATATTATTTTCATCATAAATTCTAAATAATTCAATTTAAAAACAGCGAGTACCACTACGTCACATATTTAGTAATATGGATTTAAAGAAAAATAATAAATTGATGAGTGAATATGTCACAGAAAAATCAAAATATCTTATGGGCAGGTTACAAGAGACGTTATTAAGGCCATAGATCTTTATATTGGTGAATGTATTGGTAAGCTTTTAAGATTTTAAATTAAAGTTTCTCATAAGGGATTTAAAATGAATTTTGTTATCCATGATCCACGTAAAGCTTTAGCAAATATTATTGCAATTTTCGGTTGCTAATATTATTGCCAGTGAAGTATGGTTATTGTGTAAAAATTTCCTTTTTTCATTAATTTAATTATTTCTTGTAAAAAAAAATTAGGAATGTTGCAATTATGAGGATATATCAGAAGCTTTTAAAAAGCTTAACAAATTCAATTTCGAAATTTTTTACTATACCGCCAATACTATCTTATATACATCCTGGCTTCATCTACAATTTGTCATGTAAAGTTTATTTACTTCACACCTTTTTTGTTAAAAAAAAAAAAACCAAACTTCAATTTATTTTATCATTGACTAACAGAGTTCCTTTAAGGTTTGGTTGGAATCCGCTTTCAAACCATAAAAATGTAATTATTAGTCGCATTAAACCAATTATCGAAAAACGTCTTTACGATAAAAAGAGATCAGGAGATGCTTGGGCTGCTCCAGTAAGCTATTTATAAAACATATATATTATCATTATAAATATTTAACCACTTTTAAATTTAAAAAATAGTTAGATGGATTACAATGTTACTTAGATGACCCCGGAATAACTCCTGATCTCAATCCAAATAATGTAAATTATAATTTTATTGTTGATGCACGGTTGATGGTGCTACCCATGTTTTATATGGTTAGTTATGTTTTGTTTTTATTACTTTTAGTTCTATTTTACCTATAAATATATTTTTATTTGAATATTAGATTTGGTAGAAAGGAAACAATATTGGCTCGAATTATATCGGAAATTAATAAGCAAACGAACTTACATCTGATGATATTGCTAAGATGGTGAAGCTAGATAGTTTTGTTAAAGAATCTATAAGATTTTCAGCTAGTAATTATATACTTGGTTTTACGCGTAAATGTATTTCTATTATACGTTTGCAAATGGATATCAACTCCCAAATGATAATTTTTTTGTAATTTTTTTTTTCTTGATTATTACTCTCAACTTCCAAGTCGTAACAATTATTATATATATTCCTAATTACTTAAAATTATTATAGGTCGTATGGTCTTTTCAAACATTATTGATACGCATAATGATGATCTAGAATTTTATGCATACCGTCATTCAGAACGTGCAACAAAAATTGAACGTAATTTTTTTAGTATTTGGAAGTGGAAAGCATCCATGTCCGGGTAGATTTTATACTACTAACGAAATTAGAGTGTTTTTACATAAAATATAATATTAGAACTGATACCGGGGAGATTGGATCTGAAATAAAATATACAGGACCTTTTCTAAGATGGAAGGTAGTATTGTGTTTGAGAATGGGAAGGAAATTATAAATTAAGAGTTATGACTTTATTTCATAAAGATGTTCTAGTACGGAGAGTATCAAAGTAAGCTTTAATGTTATTCTTTTAATATCCTTTTTTTTTTTTTTTTTACTATAGTATTGCATATAAATCAATATATTTAAATAAATTACATATATATTAGTAGTTTTTTAATTTATCCAAGACTGTGAATTTCGCTCTATTAATAAAAGAAAAAGGAATGGACGCTCTTCTCTGAGATTCATAACATTCTATCTGAAAAATTTAGTAATATTTGCCAGTGTTTTATTATACGTCACTTCGGTTATATCAACACTTCTCAAAATAAAAGAAATTGCCTGATTTATCCAGCCAGATGTCTTCTTAACCAGAGATATTTTCATATTATTTATGTGTGCTCAGGAAAGCCTGCTATCAGGCTTTCAATTATACTTTGTGCTGGGCAAATTCTCTAACAAATCAAATAGTTTGAGTTCGAAAAAAATGTCGTTATGTCTAGATGTCGGTACAACCAGAGCGACGTGTAGACGTATAAGCTACTTTGCTATACACGTCACTCTGGGTATACCGGCATCTGGATATAACGACATCATAGTAAAATCTTTCTATACCGACATTTTTTTCAAAAATTTTAACATAAAATGTCGGTATAACTCACTATATCGACATTTTAATTTTTTTGCTAATGTCTCAAAAATGTTGATATATCTAAGAAAATTTACTTTCATTTTATTATTTAACCAAAATTTATTTAATATCAAAAAGTATGTACAAATTGATAAAATACAACCAAAAAAAAACTTAAAGTAAACAAACATTTTTTTTTTGTAGCTTCCAAATTTAATCTATGGATAAAATTGAAAGTATAATAGGCCAAAACAAAAAGAATATATACATTTTAGATAAATTGACTTATTATGTCGGCAGTGAATTTTAAGTCTTTTAACGTTTATTTATCAATTGTTTCAGTTTTGGTTCAATTTCAATTGCTTTATTTAAATCGATAAGAGCGTCCACATATCTTTTCATTATAAGATTAACTTGACCTCGATACCATAATGCAGTTGCATCGTTTGGTTCAAATTCCAATAATTTATTTAAATCAACAAGAGCATCATCATATCTTTTCATAAAGAGATAGGCTTCACCACGACCTCTCAAAGCATATATTTCATTTGGATATAGTTCTAATACTTTATTAAAATCAGCAAGCGCTAATTCGTCATTTTCCATATTGAGATAAGTTAACCCACGATTTCCTAGTACAGCTTCATTTTGTTTATATCCTACAAGTTCCAATGATTTATTCAAATCAAAAAGAGCTTCTACGTATTTATTCATCCTACGATAAGTTTCACCACGACTTCCTAGTGCCTTTGCATTATCTGGATCAATTTTCAAAGCTTCATTTAAATCTGCAAGTGATTTATCGAAATTATCTAGCCAACAATAAATTTCTCCTCGATTCCATAATGCGAATACATTCATTGGATCAAAATTTAATACTTTATTTAAATCTTCAAGAGCTTCATCATAGTTTTTCAACATACGATAAGTTGCCCCTCGGTATTGTAAAGAAAATACGTCATTTGGATCGATTTCTACTGATTTATTTAAATCTTCAAATGCATCTTTATAATTTTGTAATTTTCCGTAAGATGCGCCTCGATATTTTAAAGCAAATGTATTATTCGGTTCAATTTTTAAAATTTTGCTTAAATCTACAACTGCTTCTTCGTATTTACTGGCTTCGAAATAATTTTTTCCATTTTCTTTTAATTCTTTTAATTCCATTATAATATTTAGTTCAGTTTCTTCCGTTATGTATCGTTAGTTAAGAAATATTTAAAAAGTTTGTGGAACAATAAGAATTTTAATTAAGTTATCGTTATTATTAAATCGTATAGCAGATACGTAAGGTATGTATAGTGTATGTATACATACATACGTACGTACGTACGTACACCCTGTGCCTTAAATACAAAAATCACCGGTTACGTAGTTATTTTTTTTATTATACAATTCTCCTTTTGTATTGGTATGTAATTCGATTAACCAGATATATACCACAACTCCTAATTGTGTGAAAATCAAAAATACTCAAAAAGGTTTTCAATATATTTGACAGGATAAGGCAAAAATCGTATGATCCTACTTCTTATACTGAAATGGTTAAGTTTAATGACAATGATAATTAATGACGTAATATGATATGTATTTAGCACAAATTACGCAAGATGACTTCACGTTCACTAACTTGAAATATCAGAACGAAATCAAGGCTAAAAATATCGGGAACTCAGACTATTTGATAAATATTTTTCTTGATTTTTACTAAACTTACGCAATTTGGATTATCAAGAAAGATATTTTAAACAATGGACCGTAGTATGTACCACGTTGGGCACGGGTATGCTAGATTTAAGTATTTTAAGCCACATGGTTATGTGTGTTTTTGGTTCTTTTGATGATACCCGACCAACAATATTCAAAAAATTCGATACGACAAAAAATTTCGATTTTTGATTATTTCAAAAAATTACTGGCCTAAATGAAGATTTGAAATCACACTTCGTGCTCAGATTACTACCGTATTTTGCGGACGATATAATGTAACATACAGACGATCCTAACTACCGAAAATTTGCGATAGCACAATATGCATATTTATACATGGATTTTTCACATAGTATATACGATATACATGGATTTTTCATATAGCATATACGATATATATCGGACGTCCACAGCATTAAAAATCATCAAATTAAATAACAAACCCCCACTTTAAATTTTTAATAAATTTTTCGAGTTTACTAAAATACACCAGTGTGTTTAGCATCACAGTTGCTATATTTCAAAAATTGATTAATTAATACTTGGTGTCTTAAGTAAAAATTATTAGAACCCCAAAAACCTTATGCTAACTAAAATTTTGACCTCTAATAC